ACGTAGACGTCGACGGTTCTCGCAAAGTGGCACGCGCGGACGTTCGAATGCAAGTTACCGTGGTTCGGCACGAGAACGCATTTAGACCGGTTTACACGGATGGATACCGAACGTACGTGTACACCGATAGAAGAAAATTCGCGCGACCATACTCGCGATTCGAGCTGCAGTATACTCGTCTCGTGCATCTTGGCAACGGTACTTTTCGTCAACCAGGCGACAGACGCGTATCCGAACTTGCGAATTTCGCCACTCGTCGTTAACCGTAACCGCTTTTCCACGAGGTACAAGATGTCCGGTGTTGTTGCAACATTTATCATCGGGACACGAACCGTCAGGTTCCGTGGGACAAAGGATCCGAGGATGCAGGAAAAGAAGTCGCAGAGGCGAGCACCGAGAGGTTGCCACAGGTCCGCCTGCCAGAGGCTAGCTAGTATTTTGGTTGAAAATTTCGCGAGGCACGTGGCATCGATTTAACGCCACTGCCGCGTCGCATCGCGTTGCGTCTCGCAGAGTATTTCGGGCGACGATCGGCCTTCGCCGGACGATCGATCGTAAACCAACGGCGAAACGAAATTTTCGATGGAAAACGGCGAAATGTGGACGATTTCGTAACCGTTTGAAAACGCGAAGCAACGTTCGAAACGGCATAGAAAAATATACGACGATTCGTATATTTTGGATGCCGCGAAAGAGCACGAGAATCTCAACTTTTTAACATCCACGCGTGTTTCGAACATCGTTTATCGATTCGATCTTTCGTCGATAAATTTAATTCGAGTCGTTCGGTCCCTCGCCTCTCTGCTCCTTCGATTCGGCAGACAAATCGAGTAAGTGAGATTTATTCCCGTCGCTTATCTTATCAGACTACGTCATCGTTTTGAGAATGCTTACCGGCCGATTCTCTTTGCCAAGCGGCCGATCTATGAGTGCATCGATGTCAAAGCGATCCTGTCTGACGCAGGATTTTTTCCAACTCTGTATACGTTCCCAGCATAGGTGCATAGATGTATATATATGTGTATCTTGATTGATTTTCCTTTTTTCCGCACGGCGTTATCGAGCAGAAAAGGAACGTTTACGCAGAGGTAGAAGATATCGGTGGCTTTTCGCGACGACTGACTGGCTGTCCCATTTCTGTAATTCCTTTTCCTTTATACCTAGTCGGATCTGCTCTGTTCTCGCTCCGTTTCATTCGTCGCAGCTCAAAGATACGAATGTCGGTGCTTTTCGCTGTTCGAGCGATATTTCCGACCATGTGAGATTTCGAAAAGTACGCGAAATGGAAGAAAGGTCGGGCCGAGTGTTTGCATTTCGAATAATTAACGACGACCGCTGGAAAATGGCAACCGAAAGTTCGCCGGACGTTGAATACCACGTTCGAGTTTATATAATTTTATCGTATCGGAGCGAACAGGAAAATGGACGGAAGAGCCGCAACGAGCGTAAAAATCTCCTGACCTTTCGTTATCTCCGCGAGCGCAGATAAACCGTAGCTCGGCAGCGAAATTTTCACGTTTCCGGACGATTCGACGAGGTTTCGCGGTTTCTCAAATTCCGGTTAACACGAGACGTTCGAACGACGTGGTCGGACACGATCCAAAGAAAACGAGAACCGTGGCGATAAACCGGTCGTATCGGTCGCCGCGTAATCTATCGCGATACTAACGCGAGATCGCTTAAATAGCTCGAACAACCGGACGCCGCTTTCGTTCGTTTCGGCCGAACGTTTTCCATTTGGCAAAGCAAGGAAAATAATAGCTCGTTCGAAGCGGATCGTGGGCGGTAGGTCGCGTGGGCCGCGACTTAAAGAACGCCACGAAACTTTAAAGAACGTCGTGGATGCAAGTTCTTTAAAGCTCGCCGATGGAAATGGGCAACGAGCCGGACGGCTACGCGAGTGGAAGCGTAATCGACGAACCGTCAACGGCAGATACGTTTCGCGTCGCATCGCGTAGGCGTTTGTCTGGTGTCCCGTTGGTTTCAACCGCGTGTCTCCCTTTCTCCGCGGCGGTCTACGGAGATGCGGGTTTGTCAGAGTCGAAAACGCTACACACGGACGGATCTCGCGCTCACACGGTGTGTGTAGGTGCGGTCGGAACTCCGATAACGGCACTTTGCACGAGGAAACCGACTATTCGCGTTCGCGCACCCGACCGACGATCGCTTGCGATCGACAATTCAGTCGCGACAAATCGCGTATTCCATTTGTCGTAATAGCTGGTCGAAATATTCCGCAGCTCAACTTTACGCGATTTTCTTACAATCGCTCCTTTCCTTGGCAATTTTTAAAGATCGGTACTCCTGCGAAATTTCTATCCAGCCAGTCGTCCAGGCGAGTCGTCCAGGCGAGCTTAATTCGCGGTTACCGCACCGTTTTTCCGTTTTCCCGACTGGCAAAAATTATCTTTCGCAAAGGTGTTCGTCGCGCGGCCTCTGTATCGATTACCCCGGTGTCGAATTCCGCGTATCGATACGTCGCTATCCCTTTCCGGGTCGATCGCGTAACTAGAATGGTCACGCTATCAGTTTGATTTCCTCGTGCACGAGACACGTAAAACCGGTTCGAGCGTTCGATATCTAGCGCTACGATCGATTAAACGTTAGCCAGTGGTCGCCGTCGGTACTCTTCGACCAGCCTCGGAAAACACGCGTCCCCGCTGCCAATTTATTTTCACCCACGTCATAGTCGACGATAATCCGTTTCCCCCGCCGCTTCGTTTCTCTCCTTTTCTTCGTTTCTCACGCACAGTACACCAGGTTTACCGCTCGTTTTTCATTCTGACAAAGCGAGCATCGCCAAACCATCGAGTATTCCGCGATAGCTCGTTAAATACCTAACGCGATTCTCCTATAAACGATTTGTCCCTCTTCGCGACACTGTCTCTGTTCCTTGTCGCGTATTTCCGGCATACCTTTCATCGCTGCACGTTCCGCAGCGGTCCGTTCGATGGAAGCTTCGATCGCGCGATTCCGATCGAACGTTTCCACGATACGCTGTTTGCAAAACGTATAGGAAGGAGACAGTTTCATCGATTAGACGAAGTAAGTTGCATTCGGCGTATCGGTTAGTCGTCTCGATCACCGTTTAGTGGGGAAACGAATCGCTCGTTGATCGATTCAGCGTATGATACGTTTGAACGGTTCGGGGAACGAGGGGTGGATATCGAACGTACAGCGACGAGCAGCATCGTCGATTAAAATGATCGACCGAATTTACCGCTTCGTCGAGATCCGTGTGGTACGATACGACGTATTTATACGTCGCAAGGGTTTGCAAGTTCGAACGAAAGCAAACGTGTTTGCAGAATCGGGCGATCTATTACGCTAATTGGATCGCCAAACGAAATTGTCAGCCGTGATAACGGTTATCGTTAATTGGAATTCGGAATTAGCGGTGGTCGCAAATTTGCTGGTATTACCAATGCGTCGCGTGCCACGACGCAGCACGTGAACGTACCGTGTAAGAAATTTATTTAGTTCCTTGTTTGGTAAATCGCGAGCATAAGCTTTCTGGCGAAAAGAAGGAAACAAAGTTACAGTAACGAGCAATAAACGTAAGCAGAAGGGTACGAATAAACGTAAAAGAGAATATGTTACGGGAGGAAAATACAAATATATAAGAAAAATAAAAATAACAAAAAGAAAAGAAGAAATGACTGTAACGTTGATCGTCCTAATCTACGGTAAGATCCAGAGAAGAGATCGTCTCGTTCGGAGATACTTTCGACACAGTTGCGTATTTTTGGTGACGAGATCGCGAGATCGGAGAGAGAGGATCTTAAGGAATTGTGTTAATTGAAAAAATGTTAAAATATTTAAAAATTAAATGTAAATTTAAAAAATATTTCGTAATATAGTTCGTATATTGGTAGCTTCTCTTTACGATAATTTAGCTTACAAGTATTGTCAAGTATTTCAAGGCAACTTCGATGTCCTTAATTAATCTCTCAACACAGACATGTTTTTCAAATTATTAAATTTATATCATACACGAAGACTAAAATAAAATATCAAAGTTCTTTAAACGGACAAACGTAAACTATAAT